TAGTTTTTAAAACAATAAACTTTGCCAAGGAGTGAAGGTAGTTAAAATAATAGTGGTGTCAAGGGAAAAACTGTCCTTTTGACGTTGTTTTTTTGTGAACATCAATGTCAAAGTTTTCCCAATATAGTAAACAGAATATTCTTATTGTAGTTCCAAAAAACAAAGATTCTCTTAAGTACATAGGGTACAAATATATTGACTAATTAGTACAACAAATAGTCCTTTTTCAACAAAATGTCATTGCATTTAATCCAGTGGTGAATATTTATTAATCCCTTGCATTAGTATAAATTTCATGTCAAAATTCAGCTAATTTCTACATATCAGGCTATGGAAATACTGATCCACTCTCAGAGGTATATAGGAAGCTTTACTAGCTAGACACAGAAGATTCTACTACAGACTTTATTTTGGTCAATGAATAACTAAATTACCATGCTATTGTAATTTGAAAAATGAGTCTTGAGAAAACGGAAAGAAAAGTTTTGTGAGAGTGTTTATGAAATAAAGAGAAACATTTGTGTCAACGTTCTTACCTGAAAGAAGGTGAGAAACCTGATAAAATCTCAAGTTGTCATTCTAGCCTAAGAATAGAGCAATTATCACAACTGTCAGAATATATATATATATATATATATATATATATATATATATAAGCAAACAGCCACCCATCCACACAATCTTTTCATCTCAAAAATTCATTAAAGATAAAGATACAATAACCAACGACAAACTACATTTCCTTAACCAATTAAAAATCTTAAAAGCCCTGAAGGAAAAGAGAAATCCTTTACAAGGGACGGGGAGGAAATAATTTTATAAGGACATCCTTCAAGTTTATATTTTCTTGAAGACTTCTTTGTTAATTAAACTAAAAATCTATTTTAGTAATTTTATTTGAGGAAGCTGTCCAAAATTTAAGGAAACTTGTTGCCTGAGCTACATCAACAATCTCCAGGCAACCCAGCTGGGTATATGTATGAAGGAGAGAGATTTTTTTTTTTTTTTTTTTTTTTTTTTTAAATCGATTTTATCCCATGCAAGGCAGTAAAGACTGTAAAACACAAGGAGCCACTGGGTGTGGGAGAATTAGGAACATAAACATTATTAATGAGCAGGGAGAGAAAAGAGTAATCAGGAGGACAATAGATAGCAATTGACAAATTTTTGCAGATTAAAATTGGCTAGGAAACATGGTGCCAGAAGGAAATTACCAAGTGAGAAAAGAAACTGTTAGTATAGAATTTATGACTACATCTAGACAACTCAAATGTAAACTGAAGAGATCTTTATGCCAGTCTATACCTTTTCAACTTCAAAATGATAATAAACAACTTCAAATTGAGATTTTTTTTTTTTTTGATAAATTGAAAATTATTTTTTCAATTAGTTTACTCCAAGTAAGGAAATTGACTGTTCGTCTTCATTATATAGATGAAGAAAAAAACCAAAATACAAACAACTTAGAGGCCAAGAAAGCACTGGGTGAGCCTACAGTAAAAGTATGAGGAGAAAGTCCTGTATGGGCAAAAAGAAGCTGAAGAAGAATTAGCAACAGCTCCAAAGAGGATTTACCTCAAGAAAACTGTGACTGGCGAAAAAAAAGGCCCAGATTTTAGCTGCACATGCCGCAGCAGGAAATTGGAAAGACTTGGCAAGAACAACTGGTGTGCCTCTGCCAACAGCGTACTGTCGGTTAGACCAGGGTGCTGATAAGAGTGACTCTAGGGGAGGAGCAAGAAAATATAAAATTATGCAAGAGCATAAGAATTTTATGGCTGAATTAATTGAAAACTGTCCTAGGGTTACTCTTCAAGACATTGTAAATAAGTTGGTCGAAAACTATGAGGTTCGTGTGATGAAAGAATGCATAAGAAAGCACTTGGACTCCATGGCCTTTACTTTAAAAGTGGTTCATTATGAACCAGAAGCTGCCAATAATAATATCAATAAGGTGAAATGTAAGGATTACGCAGTAGCTTTATTAGAATTTCAGTCCCAAAGTGTGCCAATTCTTTATATGGATGAAACCAATTTTAATCTCCATATTTCAAGAAGAGGAGGTCGCTCTAAAAAAGGCACGAGGTGCACTGCAGTCGCGGCCGGATCCAGGGGAAATAACATCCATGTTATTGGATGTATTAATAATAATGGATTAATTCATCATAAAATTAAAAGAGGTTCTTTCAAAAAAGAGCATGTGAAAGAATGGACCAGGGAGTGCCTTAGAAAGGCAAATGAAATTTATGAAAGAGGAGTTGTCTTAGTTATTAATAATGCTCCTTGCCATATTTCAATTGAAGAAGTTGTGGAGGAGGATGAATTTAGGCAACACCAAATTTTCAGACTTGCCCCCTATAGTCCGATGTTAAATCCCATTGAAAAGGTTTGGTCAGTCATTAAAGCTGACGTAAAAAGAAGTATGGCAGACTCAATTGTTGGGATTTTAAGAGGTGATGACCAGGAATCTTTAACTACTAAAGAATTCCGCCTCAGCAAGTTAGAAGCGATGATCTCCAAGGCAATTAATAATATTTCCCCTGAGACTTGCATTAACTTCATATCTGGAATACAGAGATTACTTCCCTCTGTAATTAACTTAGATGATGTAATCTTTTAAATAAATTTCTTAGGAACGTTTATATTTTTTTTATATCTCTTTTAAGTAAAAATAAAAGAATAAATATTAAATTTATCAGTATTATATTAATTCTCAATTTGGAGTTGATTGTTTCTCATTTTGGAGTTGATTACTTTTTTACCTGAAAATAAGTCCATTTTGAAGTTGATAAGGTATAGTACTGTGCTGGTGTGAACTCATCTGAACAATTACGATGAAAGTATTTATAGAAAAGACACAGAGAGGCAACCTCATAGCAATGGGAAAGTGACTGAAACCAAGCTGCCAGATCAGGACCGATAATATTGCAGATTCTTTGGATTTTATCAAAGAGCTCAAAGTAAATAGCAGGGGTACCAGACCATATGTGACAGCAATATTCTAAGATAGAAACAAAAATTAAATTCTGTGTGCCAATCTTAATCTCTGTATGTCAAGCAGACTGATATCCAAACGTTTCCCTTAAATTACATTACCTAACCTCTTATTCGATGTAAGAATAATAAGATCTGGCCAGACTTCTTTTTTTTTCACATAGATTGTTAGAATGTTAAAATCATAATTCTTAAATTTATTTTTATAAAAAATTTTTTTTTTAAACTTATTGAATTCAACAAATTATTCATCTTTGACATTTAATTACATGAAAATAAAAAAACGAGCAGTTAATTTTTTTAAATTTTAATTTCGTACAATATAAAAATTTAAGTGGAGAGTATTTTTAACGATTTGTCTTTTTGCATAATAAATAAATAAAAACTGGTATTTTATGACAATATTTGTTAAAAAAAACTGTGCTTTTTTTCTGTGCCGATAAACAATTTTTTAAACAGAAAAAACAGTAATGCAGAGGAGAAAGAAAACAGTGATGAGGCGAATAGAAAGTTCTCAAACGATTCATGGCTATTGAGTTGTTATTAAAGAAAGAACATACTACTTTTCAAATGTTTACTTTTTCTTTCTTTCGTTTTTTTTATATCTCATAATATCCACCCCCACCCAACTTTATGTTAAAAATCGGGATCCTGAAGAAAAAAAAAATACTTTTTTTTTAGTTAGAGACTTAATAAAAAAATAAATGTTTGTTTTTTTTTTTAATTTTTAAACAAATTTTAAGCAATGATAAAATCTGTTAAAAAAAAAAAAAAAATTGAAAAACATTTAATTTTTATAGTTACCTATTTTTAAAAACTAAATATCTCCCAAATAAGAAATGGATGACAAAAACAGACTAAAAAATAAAAAAAAGTTAAATTTTATCGAAATAAATCCTGAATTTACTTCTTTTTTTTGTTTTGAAATAATTCAATCTAAAAAAGAAAAACAAACCAAAATGAGAAAAAGTGAAAGTTGAGTTCAACACAAACAATCATCCCATTATTAAAGAAAGATGGTTAGGAAATTAATTACGGAAAATTAAATGATGATGAAATTTTATTGTAAAACAAAAGTAAAACTATATTTTTACATATTTTTCTTTTTTTATATTAAATTTAAGAATCCTAAGATCAATAAATCATAAATGATTGAATCAAAACAAATAATATATCGATTCATTTATTTTTCTGATAGAGAAACTTAAAAAGAAAAAAGTTTTGTATTTAATTATTAATTCAATTCATTGCTGTTTTAAGTTTGTTTTGTAGGAAGTAAAATAAAAATCAAGTGTTTTTCAGATTTCTTTTTAACTGAGATTCTAAAAAGATTTTTTTTTAGCAAAAATGTTAATTATAAAAAAAAAACTTAAATTTTATAAAGCTTTCTTTTTTTATCTTCAATTTTGTATCTTCTTTTTACTTTAATATCAAAATTAAACACTGAATTTTTTAGCAAATTTTATTTTTATTTTCTTTTTTCAAAATTGGTTACTTTCAAATTTCGGTTGTGAAATTTTTTAAAAACTTTTGACAATTAAAGAGATTCTTATTAAATTTTAAAACAAGAAGCTTGTCAAACTAATCAGGGTTAAGATTTACAGACATTTCAAATGATTATCTATGTGGAAAATATGAGCAGGTTGTTTGATTTTAGTATAAATTCAGTAAATAAATCGTAAACAAGAAAAGAAAGTTTGTTTTTAATTTATTATTATTTTTTTGTATTAAATTTGTCCTGATTTAAAAAAAAAAACAAAAAAAAACGTGTTTTTTATAAAGGATAATTAAAAAGACAATTTTTTTTTCTTAGATCACCAAAATTGCAGATAATTCAATTTTTTTTTATTCTTTAAAAACAGATTGAATAACAAAAAGAATAAAAAAAAATGAATTTTAAATGAAATTCAAAAATTGGAACGATTTAAAAAATCAGACTTGTTCATTTTTTTGCTTTCAAAACCGGCGGTAAACAAACTCAAGAACAAAAAAAACAAAAAACTTACATCTTTTCTTGTAAGATTCCGTAATAAAAATAGCAAACTAGAATGCCTAAACAGCATACCAAAAGCATTTTATTACTGCCTTCAGCCATGTGGCTATTTTGTATGTGGACGGTAACTTGCGAAGAAGGCAGCGGCGAAGAAGAATCAGCCACAAATTCCTTGACGTCGTCGTTTTTGTCGGCCTTCTGCATGGACGGCCGGGCGGCTATGCTACGTCGACTTCCGGTTTGGTACTACAGGGACGGGACACTGCCCTCTCCAACGCTACGGTCTCCTGCCTTAATTGAAAATCTTTGCCTGAACCACACCCGATGGTTCCCTGACTAGTCTTAGCACGTTCTTCGTCTGATAGATTCCCTGCCTTTGATAGCTACACCGAGACGGAAGTAAGGGGAGTGAAGACGTGCACAATTTTCATTGGACTAAATCTTTTCGCTTTCAATTTTTTTTTCTTTCCGAATTCAAATTGTATCGACACAGCTTAGCTTTGTAAAACAAATCCAGATGGATATAAAAAAAAGATGATGTAACACCAACCCTCTAATTAGGGAGGGCCTGCCTGTTGAAATCTTCCTTCTTATGCTTGAAAATTAGATTAGCATCTTATTTGAAATTCAAATTGAATTGATAGTCAAGCCTTTTTATACTTTTTTTTCAGCTGCTTTCAAACATGAGTGTCATTGCTAAAACAAAAGCCAAATGTGTCAAACCTCGTTTAAAAACTTGTTTGTCTTATAGCAAAATGATTGACGGCCTTAGACGACTTAATTTTCTTTGACAGTTGAGACACACTTTTATGGCATGAATATTAATTATTCTGTGTGTATGCAAAGGACTAGATACATTACTGAAGCCATAAATCATTTTAAAACTTCACGTACAGGAAGCGGCACTAAAATGCAAAAAGGCCATTTTAAAATCATTTGTATAATTACACCTCGTTTAACACAAAAGAGAAAAGAATCAACAACAAAAATTAACTACCGAAATTAACATTACAAAATAAAAAATCACAAAATAAAATGTAAGCAGATTACGTGACTTTTTTCAAAAAGGTAACTTAAAAAGGGTTTCTCGATCTTTTGATGAGAGCTTGAAATTTGCCTTTGTAAATTTTAAATATACTTTGACAATTTTTTAATTATGATTTCAAGATGTTCTTTTTTTATTTACTAAACTTCAGCCAATACATGGCTCGAGAGCCACTCTAGGTAGGGGTTACAATTAAGCTGGTAATGAAATTTGAGATGAGTGGATGAGAAGGTGGTGGGAAGTGGAAATTAAGGAAAATAGATAATAAATGACCTTTGGTTTGGGGTCAAGATTAAAATTTTCAGGGAAATACCTAAGTAAGATCCAGTTCCAAGTGGAACTTCCTTCTTACATTTTGAACATGGGAGAAATAAGGGTGATTAAAATTTCTTCAAATTAAAAATTCTTGTAACAATTGTAGTGACTGCTATGCTTTTCCACGCCCACAATTTATTCATCTGTGATTGGCTAGTAAATCAATACTGCTTTTCTATAAGACAATTTAGCAATCGCAGTCATCACTTTGAATTTTTCGATTGTGAACTTGCTCACATGTTTCTTTGATACAAAATCAGTAATTGGTCAAATTTTAACCAATCAAACATTTTAGTGCTAAATCAATTTTTCCCGCGTTTTCGCTGGGAGCCTACCGGTAGCTTTAAAAGAAGCAATTTTTCCCACAAGCCACCTGTAGAGTCCGGCTATTTTCGCCTGTCCACACAAATCTACAACTTTACTCACAACATTTCATACACAGACACAGATTTTTGTAACACATTATACATATCTCTCTCTGTGACTCAGCCAATTTCATGAACCAGAACTCTATTAATTTCTCTAAACAACACATTTCTTAATTAACTGTATTCTATTCTAACAGCAAACTCTATTCAACATAGAATGCTGAACATTCTTATTCAAGAGAAACTCTTTCGAACATTCAATCATAAATCAGAATACAGTTGAAGAGGAACAACTTTTTTCCTTAATCATTACACTTCATTGCATGATTGTTTTGTATGTTATATTTCAATATATATTTATTTGTTGATCCAAATATGGAGTTTTGTTGTTTTTTTTAATCATTAAAATGTACAATACATATATGCACTACTAACACGCATCACACAATAGAAAATAAATTCAAAGACATTTGGCTATATACATAAAACTCTCATAGGCCCATTAAAATAACTGATGAAGAACTATCCCAATATAAGTGTGGTATTTCATATTTACTTTCATAATATTGAATCAGACATGTACTTCTGCTAGATATTTCATTTTGCCATCTTGGCTTCATCAAGGGACTCAACTCATGAACACTAAAAAGTCCCTATTAAATCCTTCTTATCAAATAAAAATAGAAAAAGTATGCTTTATAAACCCAAGGTGATAATTAGAGTAACTTGGTCCCTGAACTATCACCAATCACAATGAATTGATGTTCCCCTAGGGAGATCCCATGCCTTGAGCGACTATTGGACCTTAAACTTAACCCAGACCTCAAGTGGAACAAGTATATATGATCCATTGCAAAAGATGCAGGAAAAATGATCAGTTCCCTGTACCATTCTAGTAAGTACCTGACTCATGTTATCCTCTACCTTTACAAGATCCAGATGGGCCCTAAAATGGAGTAGTGATATCATATTTGGGCAGGAGATGCCCAGTCTTCACTTTCCAGTCTTAATAGAGACCAAAAGTGTCTCTGCATCCTTGTGGGTGACAAATTATTTTCCACCCTACAACTCCTCTCTCACAGATGATAAGTCACAAGCCTCTCACTGCTCTATCATTATTTCCATGGAAAGTTCTCAAATTGTTATGGTGAAACACACCTATTCTATAGTTAATAGACTCTCCCATCTAATATAAGTAGGAGTAGTAAGAGAAACTAGGGTCAGTCGATGTCAGACAACAGCAGTTGACAGTTAGTCGTATACGAAGGTAGTCAGCGACCACAACAAGATTACTCTGCGTAATACCTATTATATCAAGTTCCTAATGTTTTGTACGTCGAACCTATTTTAGGACCGATTTAGTACAAATACAAGCCTCCACTGCGAAATAACTCAACAACACAAACGAATTACATTCATTAGTTTCACCAGTTCAAACCTTTACAGTTAAGACCTGCCATGTTACTCTCATTGTAGCAAAGCACCCTCATTGTTGAAAAGTTCCGCTCGAGCAACTTCTTCCCACAAACCACTGTGCTGTGGACCCAATTCCCAAGAGGATGTTTCCCCAATCACTGCAATCTTAGCCTGATCAAATCTAGAATTAACTGTTATTTTTCTCCACATATCCGCATAAACTGTGCCTCTTACCCTGTAACCCAGTACTTTGAGAGGCTCCTGGGATTCATAGAGGGTGAATATCACTGTAAAAAAAAATTGATAATGTAGAATCAAATAGTACAAAACAGAATATAAAGAAATAATATATTGTTACCTGAATTTAGAAAATAAAACACCAAAGTTAATGATTTCAAAATATAGTCACTGTGTTAGAAAATAAAGTTACTATTTTTCTCCTCCCTGGACATCCTGGGTATGATGATAAACTACATTTGGCAGCAAGAACTCCTACTGGGAGGTTTTAAGGAACCACCTCTTAATTGCTGTTGTTTCCAGGTCTACCTTGAGCTGGGGTGGTAGCACCTGTTAGGGTCCCAGCTATGGGCAAATAGTTAACCCCCAAACTGGGGTCAAAACAATATGAAAGTGTAAAAATAGGTTTTTATAGTAAAAATGCCAACAATACATTTTTTAACAAAAAATTATTACCAGCAATGCATTTAACTTTCTTTACAAAAATACATCAATGAAACCTGATCTACAAACTGATTTCTCTCAAAGAATGTATATTCTATTCATGTGAACCTATCCTAAAAATCTTGTCAGCATTAAATAACCCATTGAGGTGTTGATATGTCATAAAACAAAATAAACCAAACCAAACTAAACCAAAGAATATACCTTCTATTCTTAGGAACACATCCTAAAAATGTTGTTGGCATTAAATAACCCATTGAGGTGTTGATATGTCATAAAACAAAAAAACAAAAAACTAAACAAAGAATATACCTTCTATTCAAATCCTAAAAATGTTGTTGGCATTAAAAACCCAAAGCCATAAAACAAAATAAATACCAAACCAAAGAATATATATTCTATTCTTAAAAACCCATCCTAAAAATCTTGTTGGCATTAAATAACCCATTGAGGTGTTGATATGCCATAAAACAAAAACCAAACCAAACCAATCCTCCTAAGCTAAGTTCTGGTATGAAAAGACTTAGGTATTGGATTATAACTAGAAATTTCTGAAGTTCTTCTCTGTAGGTATGGACTTTTATTTGATTTTGTCATATCTATGGGGATCTGGGTGAGAGCCATTCACATCCAAAATAAGACCATAAAATTTGATCTGTTTTTTGTCTAACTTTGCATTTGTCTTTGTTAAAAATTAGATCAGATCTTCTGATTGTATCCATTGTTTTTCTTTTAAGTTCTTGTCATATTCATCAATTGTTTGCTATATATAAAGATATCAGATATCATCAGATATTTCTAGGACTTTGCTCGATCTTTTGTTGATATATGTCCTGTAACATCTTAAAACCAAAGGGACATTTGTAAGCAGACATAATTTCCTCATCAAGTGTATTGCCCAGTATCCATGTTTTGCATCTAATTTTTTAAATTATCCAGCCACTCTCCACAGCATGCAGCAATAAACGACATCATCAGAAGAGATTTGGATGCAGCTGGGTTCCCTTCCCAAATCAAACGTGTAGGCCTCGACTGTGGTGACGGAAAGCGGTCAGATCCTCTCTCCTGTCGTCGTAGTGCCGGCTGCTTTCCATGGTATGCAGCAATAAACGACATCATCATCATCAGAGATCTGGATGCATCTGGGTTCCCTTCACAAATTAAATCCGTAAGCCTCGACTGTGATGATGGAAAGCGGCCAGATGGCATTACCATTTTCCATTTTAAAATGGGGAAGTCGTTGATTTGGGATGCGACTTGTGCAGATACATTTTCGACCGGTAATTTGATCAGGTCCGCGGTTGAGCCGGGGTCTGTCGCCCAGGACGCAGAGATGAAAAAATATAGCTGAATATTTTTCTCTTACTGATAGATTTTTT